ATATTTATTCAACCACCACTGCTAATGACAACAAAAACCCAAAAATTTTTGATTCCACCGAGAACCCACAGTATAAGAAGAGGCTGCAAACCAAGGTTGGGTGGAGCGTGGAGTGGGCAGTGACCCCTCACGTTCCCCAGCACTGCTTGCTCTTTCTATATCAAATAAAGCAATGTGAATTTTGCTGAATATCGAGACTTTTGTCTCTCATCTATAACAATGGGATCATGGTTTGGGTGGGGAATGCTCCTAAAGGGGCTCCAGGAGAGCTGGAGAGGGGACAGGATGGAGGGACAGGACACAGGGAATGGCTTCAAAGCAGGATTTGATGGGATTTTGGGAATTGGGAATTGTTCCCTGGATCCCTGGCAGTGCCCAAGGCCAGGTTGGACACTGGGACAGTGGGAGGTGTCCCTGCCATGGCAGGGGTGGCTCTGGGGGGGATTTGGGGTCTCTCCCAACCCAAACCTTGTGTGACTCCGATTCTATGAACGAGGCACGGGCTCAGCCACCGCTCCCGCAGCTTCCTCGCACCGCGAACGCCGCAGAGCCGGGGAGGAGCTGGGCCGGTCGAGTGGCAGAAAAGGAAACAATGGCAGAAAAGGAAATAATAAAGGCAGAAAAGGAAACAATGGCAGAAAAGGAAATAATAAAGGCAGAAAACGCCTTTCCTGCGTGTGGGGACAGAGCAGCGCCAGCCCAGCGCGGGCGGCCGACATGGCGGCGGTGGGCGGGGCTTGAGGGACGGAGGCGTGGCCTGTGCCGAATAAGGCACGGTTTGCCCTTTTATGGGGGGCGTGATTTTGTTTGTGGGCGTGGTCTGTGCGGCAGGGGGCGTGGCCACTCCCCCGCCATCCCCGCCCCGTTCCCGCCGCCATTTTCCGTTGGGCGCCGGCGCGGGCGGATCGATGGATGGGGGTCGGCGGGTATTAATAAGGAGCGATCGAGAAGCGATCGGGAGCCATGCGGAGCCTCTGGGGGTTCCCCGCCGCCAGGTAGGGCTGTAAGGTGGCGGTGTGTGCGGTGTCATGCCTCCCTCACCGCGGGCCTGCCGTGACAATGGAGCGGTCCCCTGAGGGGAGCGGGGCCGGGCTCCGGCTGCGATCGCTCCCGGCGGTTCCTGGAAGGCTCCGCGGCCCCCGGGAGCGCTTTGCTGGTGCCCTGTGGGGTCGCCTGAACCGCACGTGGAACTCCAAACACCGCCGGGTTTGTTTGTCTTTGGCAGCGTCCCGCTCGCTGAACTGAGCGGCGATAGCCTGGGGGATGGCTTTGGTGTGGGAATCGCAACAAGGCCTGGTGTTTGTGAGGGACAGGGCATGGAGGGACAGCACACAGGGCATGGAGGGACAGCACACAGGGAATGGCTTCCAAATAGGATTTGATGGGATTTTGGGCAGGAATTGTTCCCTGGCAGGGCTGGCACAGGGTGCCCAGAGCAGCTGTGGCTGCCCCTGGATCCCTGGAATGTTCAGTTCCAGGTTGGACACCGGGACAGTGGGAGGTGACCCTGCCATGGCAGGGCTGGGATTAAATGAGTTTTAATGTCCCTCCGGCCTAAGGCAGTGCGGGATTCCTGGAGCTGCAGCTGTGGCTGCTGCGCCAGTGTCACCCCGGCGGCTCCGAGGGATCTCCTTGGGCTCAGCCTGCACTCGCTGATGTTTCCTTGGCTTCCCCGCAGGGATTGCTGCAGCCCTGAAGAGGAGGAGTGACAAAAGCTCATCAGAGTTCTGACAGAAATGGTTTTCCCCTGGAATCTCCCTGCCAGTGAGAGCTCTGCTGAGGATATCCGGCTTCGGACACATTTTATCACATTTTCTCAAACGTTCTGAGGTGCTGAACAAATGAATCTGCATCATGTAGGAGCCTGTGGTGCTCGGTAGCCGCAGGGACACTGAGGCTCGGGTGATCCCCTGCGGTTGTTGTTATCCCTGGCAGCATGGACAGCAAGGATCCAAGGTACTCATCCTCTGAACACGGCCTGGGATCCATTGCAGGGATTAACAGGCAGAGAAAATCATTTGCCAAGTGAGTTTAGCGTCCCCGAGGCTTTCTCCTGAAGGGGACGTTTTAAATAATTTGGAAAATCCCAGCCTGCAGATGCAACTGCTCTTTGAAATGACTTCTGCTTGTATGGATTAACAGAATGAGGGGAAGAGAACGTTCCCTCAGACTGTGCAATTATCACTTGCACTGATCCAAGTTCCCAGCATTTATCCAGTGACTTCCTACAGTCCTGCCAGAGCTCTGAGCACAGGGATAATCTCAAATAAAGGGGTTTTTCACCTGATTTTAACAGATCTCTCCTGTGTTAATATATGAATATGCAGGGTTGAGCTTGAGCAGAGTGTTCTCTGGCCTCATTTAAAATTGGTTGTTTTGCAGAGAAAATAATTCCAGTTGTATTTGCACATAATGTTAAATTAAAAAGCAGTTAATTTTTATTAAACCTGAGGGAAAGATTCTTTAGAAGTAGATATTCCCTTGCCCAGCTGACTCAAAACCAGGTTCTGTGGATATTAATATTATGGGGATGTTAAATAGAGTAAAAAATAGCAGTGAAGAGAAGGATTGTTTTAATAGATCTTAATTATCTCAATTAAAAATTGTATCATAAATTTCATAACTTCTTCATAATTAATTTTTTCTGGCCTCCCTTTTGATCTTTTTCTGGGAACATTTCTTAAAACAATGATAGGTTTATTTCAAACAAAGCCAAGCAAAGTTCGTTTTCCTTGTATTAATGAAGTTGAAATTAGTGGCATTGAATTTTCAGGTACTATTTTAATGCAAAGTTAATATAAATAATCATACAGTGGTTTCTGCTTTAGTTGAAATGGTAAGAGTCCTTTCCATGTGGAGAAAGGAAAGGGATGTTGCCATAAAATGGACAAAAATTGCCATAAAATAAGGATTAGTGCCCCTCTCAGTAACTCTTTCAGTACCACTGTCCTCCCTCAGACAGTGGAGAGGGTAAAATAACTGTACAGAAACCTAGGGTGAGTTAAAAGTGATTTTAAGTGATAAATGTGTGTGTTTTTAAGAGCTAAATATGAATAAAAATGATTTACTAAGGTAATTCACTGTGATAATTTAGTAAAATGTGCTTGTTTTTCATGTGTTGTAGGAACAGAAGCAAAATGTTTGTTTTGCAAGCAGAAGGGTTTATTTGTTAATCCCCATGGGAATCCTGATGGATGTGCCAATGCCTCTCTCTCAGCTTGGTGAGTACCTGAACCTTTTGGATTGGAGAGGAGCAGTGCAGGGAGCTCATTAATTCGTTAATAATCCTGCTGAGTTAATGAAGAGACCATCGTGGTATTGCAGAGCTGTCCCTGGGGTGATTCCCAGAGTTCAGGATCTCTTGGTTTTTTGTATCTGAATCCTCCATTCTGTGCAGCAGCCACGAGCAGGGGCTGGAGCCAGCCTGGGACACCTGGGGGTGCTCACCTGGACAGGAGAAGCTCCAGGGAGAGCTCAGAGCCCCTGGCAGGGCCTGAAGGGGCTCCAGGAGAGCTGGAGAGGGACTGGGGACAAGGATGGAGGGACAGCACACAGGGAATGGCTTCAAAGCAGGATTTGATGGGATATTGGGAATTAGGAATTGTTCCCTGGGATGGGATGGAATTCCCAGATTTGCTGTGGCTGCCCCTGGATCCCTGGAATGTTCAGTTTTTTTTCTTTTTTTCAAGACCCTTCAGCCTCTCTTCTGCTTTGAGTGCAACGAGAGCAAACTTCCTGTTCTTGTTTTAAGGCATTTTGTGGTCATGTGTGTGACTCAGAAGATGCTGACTCCCACAGCCAGTTGGCCAAAGCAGTCATTACTTTTAATTCCAAACATTTCTTCTCAGTTTTACATAAACTCCATGGGAAAATTTAGAAAGTTCCTTCCTTATCTTCCCTAAAACGCTCTTTTGTCTTCACCTGTTGTGTTAAAAAGATCAGCATGACTGTGAAAAGAGAAATCTGGGCCTCGAATTAGAAAATTTAAACTATCTTTATGGAGATCTACAAATAATGGGTATACCTGCAGGTAAATGTAGAACAATAGATTTCTTACCAGGTAGGAAATCACCTATTTGAGAAACAAAAAATCCAGTGGGGATAAATAAAGCAATATTTTAAGAGTTATTATTATCTGAACACAAACTCAGATTTGTAATCACTTGTGTCTGCTGAATTGTGGGTGTATTCCACTTAGCATTATTTGATTTTTCAATGCCTCTTCTCTACCCAAACCAAATTCCTTTCTGGTCGAGTTCAAACTGCCTCTGAACTTTGTTTCAACAAACAAGTTTAGCAAAGGAAGTCGAACAGTTGCAAAACTGTTTGTGTTACACTCTTACAAAGGAGACAGAGCCAAGAAAAAAAAAAAAAAGAGTTTAGAACGAGTAACTGGGAAAATTCAGCCTGGAGAAACACAGATGGTCTGGAAACTGCAAGGGGAATCTTCCTCAGCATCTTGGCCTGCTTGGAGTTTCTACCAACCCTGGCAGTGCCCGAGGCCAGGTTGGACATTGGGACAGTGGGAGGTGACCCTGCCATGGCAGGGGTGGCTCTGGGTGGGATTCCCAAACCATTCTGGGATCTATGAGGATGAATCCAACAATAATGGAATATTTTCCCACATCAGTTCTCAATTTCTTGGGGTGGTTTGAAATACAGAGTCCTGTAAGACATGATTTGATGAGAACATGTTGGGTGTTTTTGCTGACACTGAGTCTTGAACCTCACGTGGAGGGAGCAGCTGGGGATCCAAAAACCAGCTCCTCAGAGTTCCAGGCTCTGCAGAAGGAGGGAAGTGTGGGAAAGTTGTAGGAAAATGTAAAAGAAAGTAACAGTTCCACCAGGGAATACTGGGTATGAACCCAGTTGGTGCAAATGAATATTTGCAATAAAAAATCAGATCCTGTGGATTAATGTGCATTAATGCAGAGTTTCAATTTCCAGTGTACCTCACCTTACTGTCTACAGCTCTTTGCAGCCTGCCTGGTAAGAGTTTTATCATCTTTACAATGCTTTTCCTAACACATTTCATGGCTTGCACATCCTCACCAGTCATAATTTTGGAATTTCATGGTTTTTGGAGAAAGAACTTGCAGAAATATAATCCATGTGCACAGTGCTTTGCATTGCTGTGTCTGTTGTGCTGAGCTCTCCCCTGTGGCTGCTTTTTGGGGGCAAATCCTGAGCTACTCTAAATGGGTTTATTTATTAGAATTGTTGCAAAGCTCAGAGTTGTTTTTTGGGGTGTTTTTTGTTGTTGTTGTTGTTCTTTTGGTTTGTTTTTTTTTGTTATTTTTTCTTTTCTAGAAGGAATTTTGGAAGAGCTTCCTTACAACCTCCAGATGGACTCCCACAATTTCCAGCACATTCTGACCTGGCAGGCAAAACATAACCCAGCTGTGCCAGCATCCTACAACGTGCTGTACAAACACCACAGGTGAGTCACACAAAATAAGGCACAAATTCTGCTTTTAATGTTTATTGACCCAAAGAGGAGGGAGCTTTGGAGTGCCCATCCCTGCAGGTGGCACCTGGAGGTGGCACTCAGGGTGCCAAGGTGGCCATGGGGCACAGCTGGGACTGCAGGGGCTGGGAGGGCTTTGCCAGCCTCGGGGATTCTGGATTCTCTGGAAATACTAAGGCTCAGGGTTTCTCTGTTTTTCTTAGTTTTTCTGGTTTTTTTTTTTTTCCCTGAGAAATGCTCTCCTCACACTCCCATACCCTCTCACATCAGAGTGTTGATACTTTTGCTGTTTTCTGCAGGAGCCAGAGCTGGATGAGTGCTCAGCAGTGTGCAGGCACTGCCCAGCTCTCCTGTGAGCTGACAGAGGATTTCAGGAACATTTCCAGTGAATATTCTGCATTTGTTCAGAGCGTTGGAGGAGCTCAGGTGCTCAATTCTTCTGTGCTGCGTTTTGCACCACTCAGTCAGAGTAAGTTCTCTCTCTGCATTTCTTCTTTTTGTAGTTTTTTTTGTTAACAGCTGATGCCTGAATTATGTTGTGCTGCCTTTGCTGCAAGACTCCACACTGGCTGGTTGGTGGCTATTTGTATGTGGTATTTCATAGATCTCTTACAAAGCTTCAAGTCTATAGATAAGTTTCTAAAACTAGTTCTGATAAATGAGTGGTGCTCTGGTTTTGCAATAAATACATCTATATACATTATAAATATAAAGGAAATGTAGTTGTGCATTGACAAACGCTGAGTAAAAATGTCTGGACTGTGTAAGACACACAACTTAAAAAACCAACATTGCTTTTGTGTGTTCAGATAGTGAATGTTGGGTTTAAAAATGCCAGGTCTGCACCAGGTGTAGGGAAGAGATTGACTGTCCATTTCCTGCTGAAGATAATTGTCTTTAATGCCAGAGGTGGCTTCACCCTTGGCTCTGCTTAAAGTTGAGTTTTGAGCTAACAGAGGCAGAGATTGAGGACCAGATGGAGAACTGTGGAGGATGGACTGATCAGGTTCCCTCTGAATTCAGCAGAGGCAGCTGCTGTGTCCATTTCCAGAAATGAGGGAACATTGGAGGGAAAGGGAGAATGGGCTCAAGGAGACCTGAAGGACTGGAGAACATCCCTGAGGAGGAGCCCTGCAGTCCCTCAGCAGTTGGTTTAATAAAAAGGACAGGACAAGAGGGAGTGGCTTTAAGCTGCAGGAGGGCAGGGATGGGATTTTGGGCAGGAATTGTTCCCTGGCAGGGTGGGCAGGGCTGGCACAGGGTGCCCAGAGCAGCTGTGGCTGCCCCTGGATCCCTGGCAGTGCCCAAGGCCAGGTTGGACACTGGGACAGTGGGAGGTGTCCCTGCCATGGCAGGGCTGGGATTAAATGACCTTTAATGTCCCTCCCAACCCAACCCACTCCAGGATTCTATTCTGTACCTTAACCTCAGGTAGATACAAAGCTCCCATCTCTGGGGAGCTGGAGCAAAGCCTCTGTCCCCTTTCTGCTTCTTCCCTCCTCTCCACTCCTTTTCCTTTAAACTCTGGCCTTGTGGGAAGTGATGATTTGGCTGTGGAAGTTAAATGTTGTAGGGCCTTGTGGTTTTACAGCACTGTTCCCTCTGGAATGTGCTGAGCCAGCTCTGTATGCATCACACAAATGGAGTTGGTACTGGTTAAAGTGTGTATTTTTTCCAACATTTTTTCTTCTTTCTTGTTTTCCAACAGCAATTCTAGGACCACCAGAAGTGAATATCACTTCCTGTCCAAACTGCATCAATGTCACCATAAAGCTGCCAACCTCTCACTTCAGACACAAGGGAAAGCTGCAGTCTTTGATTGACATCTATGAAGAGCTGGATTATGTCATCACACTGAAATCACAGGATGGGGAGCATAAGGTGGGGACATTTGGAGGTCAGTTGTGCTTTAGGGGATGAACACAGAGGCCATAAAATGGCTCTGATGGTTCCCAAAAACAAATATGTGAATAGAAGCAAAAGAAAACATAGAAATAAATTTCTTAAAAGCAAAGAGAGGCCATGGCCAGCAGAATCTGAGCTTCCTTTCAGTGCAGGGGAGCAGGCCTGGAGGAGTGAGCAGGGGCTCTCTTGAGCCAATAACTGACTTCCAACCATTGCTTTTCATGGCAGAGGTCACGGCAGAGAACCACTGAAGAAATGTTCAGTACTGTCATTGGAGAATTGTATCCCAGCAGGAATTACTGTGTGTCCGTGGCCATCACTGCATCCCTGAACAAACATTCCGTGCCCTCCCCCTGGAAATGTGTCACTACAGCCTCAGAGGCTCAGAGACAAGGTAACACAGCTCTGGGGCAGGGGGGCTGCTCTGAGTGTGCCATGTTTGCTTTTGGGGTAGGGACATTTTAATTCAGTCCTGAAAAACGAGTGATCACAGAATCATGGGATATCCTGAGCTGGAGGGACCCCCAGGGATCACCCAGTCCCACCCTGCCCTGCCCAGACCCCCCAAAATCCCAGCCTGGGCATCCCTGGCAGCTCCTGGAGCTCTGTGCCCATTCCCTGGGGAGCCTGGGCAGTGCCAGCACCCTCTGGGGGAAGAGCCTTGCCCTAAAATCCATCCTAAATCCCTCCTGGCACAGCTCCAGGCCCTCCCAGCTCCAAGAGCAGAGATTGGAGCCTCAGTTTGAGAGAACCACTGTGGGTATTTAGGAGTGAGATATAAAACCCCATTGACTGTGGGGCAGCAAATCTCCTGGTGATCCCCTGAGCCATACAGGTCTCCACTAACTCTGCATAAAGATGGAGTCACTTCTTATTTAATTCCTGAAACTAATTTCAGATTTGGTCTTGTTTTGACTTTGACTTCCACAGATCCCTCCTAACCAAAATGATTGGTGGTTCCTAATAGCTGTAGTGACTGTGAGCTCTGCAATGTGGCCATGGGACACTTGCTCCATGTGTATTTGTTTGTTTTCTCCACTCCAGATTACCGTGAAGTTGCAGTGGCAGGTGCTGTTTGTGTTGCTCTGGTAATTGCAGCAGTCCTGAAGTGTTTACATGCAGCAGGTTTTATTTTCCCGAAGATTCCCCTTCCTCAGACCTTGGTATGAAACATTCTCAGATCTGCCTTTTCTGGCTGGCAGGAGGAGGTTTAACAACTGGAATTTCCAATCCTGTGCTCTAGGTACAAGTTATGTAAGAGCACAGAATGTTTGCATTTGCCCTTTGCCTCAGTCACAGATGATCTGTAGGCTGCTAAGTTTTGTCTGATCTTCAGAACAAATATTCAAAACCGTTTTTGGCTACTTCTGTGACAAGTTACTAAAAGAGAGAATCATCCCACCCTGCCTGGGGGGAACATCCAGGAATATTTCACTCCCCACAGGGCATGAAAGGTGTGGACAGGCAGGGCCAGGGCGTGAGCAGAGGGCTGGAAATCCTGCCCTGTAAGGAGAGACTGGAGGGGAAGTTATTCCTCTGTTTAATAACAGTAAAATAATCTCTCTTGGACTCTCTCTGTGATCGGGGGTTTCAGCACTTGAGGGAGCCAGTCCAGAGCCAGCTCATTTTTTTATTTTCATAGACTGAACTGCCACTAAATTTCAAGCAAAAATAACAAGATTTCTTGTTATTATCTTTTCTTTGTTTGCTTGTTCTATTTTTTTTTACACACTCTGACTTCTTTTACATTTAATTTTGTAGAGTTTTTCAGCATAAATATTTTGCATGTTCTACAAACATACCCAGAGCAGATGGGTATCACTTTTTTCTAAGATTTTTGCCTCATGTTTCTGTCCTTTGCTGTGTCGTCACTTTCACATTCCAACAATTGCTGAGCACTTTACAAAGGAGTGTCTAAGGTTTATTTATTTTTTTATTGTCAACGTGATTAATGCTTCAAATATTAAATAAACCTCTGAAGTAGAGGGAAAACGGGGCTTGGGATGTTAAAATGGTGACAATTGCTTCAAAAGTTAATTTCTAAAGGATGTGAAAATTGATCAGCTGTGATAGTGATGCAGGAGTTGAGAGAGTGACAAGACTCACCTCACCCTGGGGGGGTGGGCAGGCCCTGGGTCCCTGGCAGTGCCCAAGGCCAGGCTGGATGGGGTTTGGGGCACCCTGGCATGGTGGAAGGTGTCCCTGCCATGGCAGGGGAATGGAATGGGATGATCTTTTAAGATCCCTTCCCACTCAAACCATTCCGGGGTTCTGTGATTTCAGGAATGGAAAAGAAGGAACGATCCTAGATACCCTGAACCCTGCAGAAAAAGCCAAATCTGAGGCACAGAAGGAGTAATTTGTTTGACAGCCTCACAGCAGGAGGTTATTTGGAGTTTTTCCATGTTTATGTGTGCAAATGTGGCTGAGTTGATTTAATTCCTTTTACCCTTCCAGGCATGCATCAGGAAGTTGGCTTATTCAACTTGGGTGTCTGAGCCAGAAAGCCTGGCCTCCCTGGAGATCATCCCCAGAGAGGTGAAAAGCAAGGCCAGGGGCTGCACAGGCAGTGCCAGCGATGACGGCGACAGCAGCGACAGCGACAGCAGCGACAGCGACAGCAGCGCCCTGTGTGACCACGACTACACGAGGCGAGCGGGGCCGGGCGGGGGCCGCGCCCCCCGGGGCTGTGCCACCCCCAGCGCCCTGGTGCCCTACTCGGTGAACAGCAGCAGCCAGGCTGGGGACACGCCAGCTGCCGAGCCACAGCAGTGCCAGGGACACGAGTGCCAGGGACACGGGGAGGACCCTGAAGAGGACGCAGACACGAGGAGTGAGTTGCTGAGCCCGCTCTCCGAGGGCAGCAGTGAGTGCTTCACCATCGGCTTGCACACCGTGCTGCTGGGAGCCCTGGAGCAGGACGGGCACGGCTCTGCAGCTGCTGCCCCAGGCCGGGAGGATGCAGGTGGCTGGCACTGCGATCCTGCTCTGCAGGCAAAGCTGCTGGAGGACACGGGAAGTGAGCAGGAAGCACCTTGTTCTAATGACTTCCATGAGTGGCAAAACTCTTCCTCTTCTTCTGAGGAAAGCGATTCCTTGGACTCGGACACAGAGCCTTTAACGGGGTACATGAGGAGATGAAGGGAGAACTGCTTACTTATAACAGTAATCAGTATTGTCCACTTTTATTTCTGCACTGAACGCACAGATCTTGTCCTTTCATTAACACCCTGTGAGTTTGGGCTCCTACAGGAAGAGCTGGGGGAGTTTGGAGAAAATCCAGAGTCCCTTCCCTTTCCCCAGAAGAGGGGCTTTGGATAAGGGATGTAGGGACAGGACAAGAGGGAATGGTATCAAACTGACAGAGGGCAGTTTTGCATTAGAAATTGTTCCCTGTGAGGGTGGGGAAGAGACAATTCCCAAGGCACGGAGGGACAGCACACAGGGAATGGCTCCCACTGCCAGAGGGCAGGGCTGGATGGGATTTTGGGAATTAGGAATTGTTCCCTGGGATGGCAGTGAGGGGCTGGGGTAGAAATCCCAGAGCAGCTGTGGCTGCCCCTGGAAGGCCAGCTTGGACATCGGGGCTGGAGCAGCCTGGGCCAGTGGGAGGCTGTCTCTCAACCAGACCACTTTTTCAGTTTTTATGTCCTTTATCTCTGTCAGTGGATTTTTGTGAAACCTGTACTGCTGGCTGCATGCTGTGATCATACAATAATCAGGTGAGAGCTGAACAGGTGCAGTAACGGGGGCAGAAAACAAGAACGGTTATCTGACAAAAGACTGGACCCTTAAAAGAGGCATTAACACACTTTCTGAATTTATTTTTATATAATTTTGTACAACTAGCGACTTGTATTAAAATACTTTTATGACACTTAAAATCACCAGTGTGAGCAGCCCTGGTGTGTGAGGGGAGGGAGCCCCGGGATGTGAGGGGAGACAGAGCCGGTGTGTGAGGGGGAATAACCCCGGTGTGTGAGGGGGAATAACCCCGGTGTGTGAGGGGGAGAGAAAACGCGCTGTGTGAGGGGGAATAACCCCGGTGTGTGAGGGGGAGAGAAAACGCGCTGTGTGAGGGGGAGCTGTGCCCGCAGCCCGGCCGGCCTGGGCAGGGGAAGGTTTTGGGGTACCGGGCTGCGGAAGGGTTGGAGCTCGCCGGGCTCCTGCTCTGCCGCCCCGCCCCGGCGGGAAGCGGAAGGTTCGGGGTGCCGGGGCGGCCCCGCTCCCACAGCCATGGTGCGGCCGCCGCGCCGCTGCTGAGGGAGCCGCCATGGCCGCCGAGCTGTGCGGCGGGCTCCTGCTCTGCAGCGGGCTCCTGCTGTGCGGTGAGTCCGCCGGGGAGGGACGGAGCCATGGCCGGAGCGGGCCGGCAGTCGCGGTGCCCTCACAGGGAGCGGCAGCGAGAGGCACCTGGGGCGGCGGAGCCTCCGCGCGGCTCCTCCGCGGCTCTGAGCAGCCGGGCGGGAGTGCCCTGAGGGGCCAGCGGGGCCAGCCCGGCCGGGCTCCTCGGGGGGCTTGGCTGGCGGTGCTGGGGTCCCGCCGCCCGCCGGTGTTACTGTCCCGGGGCTCGGTGTGGGTGGGAAATGGGGATGGTACTGCCGGGATCGGGACATTTCCCGGTGAGGAAAGACGGGCGTGGGGGAGAAGCCGCGCCCTGAGAGCTCTGTGTCGCTGTCTAGAGAGGGGACAGTCGGGGTAAACAGGCTCTGCTCCAGGGAACAGGGACAGGAGGAGAGGGAACGGCCTCAGGCTGGGCCAGGGCAGGCTCAGCTTGGACAGCAGCAGGAATTTCCCCATGGAAAGGGAGCTCAGGCCTTGGCAGGGGCTGCCCAGGGAGCTTTGGAGTGCCCATCCCTGCAGGTGGCACCTGGAGGTGGCACTCAGGGTGCCAAGGTGGCCATGGGGCACAGCTGGGACTGCAGGGGCTGGGAGGGCTTTGCACAAACCTGAAAGCCCAGAAGTATTTCCTCATCTCTTTGGCACCACAGTGGAGCATTTTACCTGGAGGCTTCTCAGGTAGGAAGGACGGTGAGGGTAGTGAGCCTTTCCAGGAAATGTGCTTTTCTTTGGAAATTTGCATGCCGACCTCACACCTCATCCTCAAAGCACAGGCAGCGCTCCAAGAGAACCGAGAGGGACTTTGGACAAGGCCCGGAACGCCAGGACACAGGGAATGGCTCCCACTGCCAGAGGGATTTTGGGCAGGAATTGTTCCCTGGCAGGGTGGGCAGGGCTGGCACAGGGTGCCCAGAGCAGCTGTGGCTGCCCCTGGATCCCTGGCAGTGCCCAAGGCCAGGTTGGACATTGGGACAGTGGGAGGTGTCCCTGCCATGGCAGGGGTGGCTCTGGGGGGGATTTGGGGTCCCTTCCAGCCCAAACCAGTGTGTGATTTGAACTTTGTATTTGTGATGTGCAGTGTTTGATTTATTTGTTGGGTGCAAGGATAAGGCTGTAGGACCAGTGTCTGAAATAGGTTTTGTTTAAGCCAGGCTCAGATTTCAAACTCTTACCTGCTGGGGGCTGGGGGGGGTGACTGACACACGAATTTCATTCATTTCTGCATCAGCTGGGGACACGGCTCTGGGGTGATTCTGGGGGTGCTGGGGTGACTCGGGGTGGCCTTGAAGGTCTGTTCCAGCCCTGGTGATTCTGTGAACTGCAGACATAGAAAAGGTGTTATTTATCTTAGAGCACCTGCCAGCAGGTGTGACTCCTGTGCCATTGTTCTGACAGCGTTTGTTTGCATTGCTCATTTGTGCTGCAGGAATGGGCTGGAATCTCTGCTATTTTGGTCTCAATACCTACAATTATGTAAGAATAATTAAATCATAACAGTAATGGGCTTTTTGTTGATTCTTTACACTACTTTAGTGTTTCTTTCATTCAGTTTCAAGAAAGGAGAACAACTGAGGTTTTGTTACTTGTAAATAATGCTGATTCATGATAACTTAATTATATTTAATTATATGTAATAGCTCTCTTACTTTCAGAGGTGCTTCTGGTTTATCTCTGTCAATCCTCACGCCCTTGTTATTCCCACAGTGCTGCTGGAGCACTGCTTAGGAAAATTAGGGTTTGACAATCTCAGGGAGAGTTCATGCCCTGAGTCCTGGGCAGCACCAGCTCAGTCATGCACAAGAAATGTTGGTGTCACAAGGACTTACTGGAAGTCACTGGGGCCAGTAATTTGTTTTGTTGCATAAGAAGGTAGGAGAGGCATCAGGATTGAAATTAGTTTAATTGGGCTCTGGTTTTAAATAAGCACCTAAGGCAAGGCAGAGGCTGCGTTTAAATTTTGGATGAGTGGGAAGTGCTGGAGCAGACACCGAAATGTTTGTTCTGATTCCTTCCACAGTTTCTGGAATGATCCCAGAGCCCCGAAATGCAAGAATCACTTCAGTCAATCTTCACAGCACCCTGCAGTGGGATCCACCAAGGTTCCCCGGAGGGAACATCACCTACACTGTCCAGTACAAGAGGTGGGGCTGGGGCTGGGCTGCCTTGAATTCACATCTCACAGCTCTGTTACTTGGGGCTTGTGTGCCAGGAGCTGTCCCTTTGTTTCAGCTTGTGAGAGCTCTCAGGAGCTGAGGGCGGGCCAGAGCCATTTTCTGGCCATTCACACCCCAGGCAGCTTTGTCCTGTTTATTTTGGAGCCACAAACACATTCTGGCACTGGATGTTCTTGGCTGTGGGAGTGGTTTTCCTCTCTGGGGAATCTTACCTGAAACTGAAGAGAACTGTTTGTGCTGAGGGTTTGCCTTTCCCTCATCTCCCATCCCACTGATCCCATCCCATTGATCCCATTATCCCATCCCACTGATCTCATCCCATCCAACCCCTGCCATGGCAGGGACACCTCCCACTGTCCCAATGTCCAACCTGGACCTGAACATTCCAGGGATCCAGGGGCAGCCACAGCAAATCTGGGAATTCCATCCCAAACCCTCCCAGGGAACAATTCCTAATTCCCAAGATCCCATCCAGCCCTGCCCTCTGGCAGTGGGAGCCATTCCCTGGGTGCTGTCCCTGCATTCCCTGTGTCCTGTCCCTCTCTGCCCATCTAAAACTCCTCCTGTTCTCTCTGAGCCCCTCCAGGCACTGGAAGGAGCTCTAAGCCTTGCCCAGAGCCTTCTCTTCAGGCTTAGTTGAGAGAAGATTTTTCTGGGTTCTGTAGCCATGGTCCCTTGATCATTTCTGGGCAGGCTTTTGATGCAAAGCAGAAAGACTCAAATATATTAAATATTAATTAGAATTAAATATATTAAATATTGATCAAGGCCAGGTTGGATGGGGCTGGGAGCAGCCTGGGACAGTGGGAGGTGTCCCTGCCATGGCAGGGGTGGCTCTGGGTGGGATTTAAGGTCCTTCCCAACCCAAACCCTGTGTGGCTCTATTCCATAAGCAGGCCCTGCTCACTTCCCAGCCCTGTTTTCTCTGCCCTTTCCTGAGTGCAGATCCTGGAGACAGCTCCAAGCCAAGTCCCAGTGGGCAGCAGTGCCCTGCAGTGGCACTGGCTCAGTGAGTGCTGGCTTCTCTGAGCTCCTGCCTCTGAATGCAGTGCTGTGACCCTGCCACAAAAAAGGGCATTTTTTACAGAATTAGCATTTTAATGCCTCTGTTTATCATGGATTTATAGATGGGTATAAAATGCTTAATGTGAGTCTTACACACACTGGATACATTATGAGTGCTAATGTTTCATGCAGGTAAAACCTTATCAAGGACAGGCCTTATAAAATCAGGCTCAGCTAAAATAACTGATTAAATTAACTAAATTAACTGCAAGCATGTTAAGTTCCCATTAAAAGAAATCACAGGAATGAAAATCCATTTACATAGCAATCTGTTCTTAGAAGAACAAGTTTCACCTATAAAAAATAAAAGTCTATCCCAAGAGAATCCATAAAAAATATGTAAGCACCTCCTAAGGAGAGAGTTTTAACACATACACACACAATCACCTTCTAACCAATGAATGGAGTGGCAAAAAAGGTACTAACCTATTAAACACAAAGTCTGTAAATCTTTATAAAACCAGGCTGTAACATTATATGAGGCTTTAGCCACTAAAATGTTGAAGTTATACCCGTTGTTGTTCACCAAATATTAAATGCCAGCTGCTTGTATTACCAGCTTTAAATGCCTTAAAGCCATTTATCCAGCTCTGATTACCTGTTGGAACCCTGGAAACTGAGAATTCTGAATTTTCTGTGCTGCCAGGCACTGACCCCCAGCAGAACTCTGCATTTC